TACTACTATATATATATATATATATATATATACGCTTTCTCCTTCCCTTGGATGCGCTAACCCTATCCACTGGACTATAATGATAACCTATTTTTGCGGTTATTCGATTGCTTGGTAAATGGCTTGCTTCATCATCGCCCAAATGTTGCCTAATACATATAGATAGACATACTTATTTAGAAGTACAATAGTTAATCAGTAAGAAATAACTAAGGAAAATATTTTAAACTTAAATATCCCTGACATACTGAATGACCTTGGGGTTATAATAATACCACCAAAAAAAAAGTAAAGGGCAAGGCTTAAGTTTGGGAAATGCAGCCTATGAAAATAAATGTGCGACGTTTTTCATGTGTGAATATTGGGTTCGTCATGGCTGTCTTTTTCACCTCGGTGTTTCATTTTCATACAGAAAAAAAAATCATCCGTCGCAGTAATATTCCGAATCAACCCTTTGCTTTAGGATAGGTAAACTTCCTTGTGAAAAGTTGAAATCATATCTCGAATCATTTAACTGCAGTTGGAACAAACTAAATAATAATAATAATGCCAAGCAAAAATAATCATATAGTATTCATTGTGAAAAGACTATAGAACACAATACTACACCCCTTTTAGAACTCTAAGACCACAGGCTGTGTAAATGCTCCCTGTGTTATCCTAATTTATATCACTTCTTACATTTGGTATTGTTGAACGGTAAAGAAGAGGTCTCTACTTTAGATTTTCGCTTCGGCCCAACATGCGATGTGTTTGTGGAATCTGAGTTAGGATTACCACATCGTTTGATTAATAATGTTGGCGTGTGATGGTTGGGCGAGGTGGCGTTCTTGTCTTTACCGCGTAATGAAGTCCTCGCAGTACGCATCGTTATCGGTGAACCTGATGACGGCGACGATGCGCCATTGCTAATAGGGGAGTGGACCTTGCGCGCCGAATTTTTCACGTCGTTTGATCTCATGGAGGCGGGACTTGAGGAGGATGTTATGGAGGAGGCCTTTCGAGAGGGATGCGACGGGGGGGTTTGGTCCTTAGCAGCCGGCGTGCTACTCAAATCACGTTCAAAATTTACTTTCCGTCCGAAATTGTACGTAAAGCCATCAACATGATTCGGCGTACTACGTACCATGGTATCATCCTCCATGACAAGCGGCTGAGCCGTGAAGATCGAATCAAAGTTGTTTTCTGTATTAGGGTCAGGTATAAAGGGTGCCGGAATGCTTCGCTTGTAGAGCAACGCAAAATCGATATTTTTGAAAAAGGGATGTCGTTTAAACTCCTCCAGGTCTTGCAGCCGCTTAGCCGGGTCGCGGTCTAATAATCTAGTCAGCAAATCTTCCGCCTCAGGGCTTATGGAGATGTTGAAGCAGTCGAAACTAAGTTCTTGCGTGAGGATGTTCTCGTGCATGATATTTTCGTTTTCGTTGTAGAAAGGAGGGAGGCCATAAAGCATCTCGTACAACATAATACCCAATGACCACCAATCCACCGCATGCCCATGCTCTTCACCTAAAAGAATCTCAGGTGCCTGATATTCCGCAGTGCCGCAGTAAGTGTTAGTCGTTGCATTAGCGCTAATATTTGCCTTGGCTAGACCAAAGTCAGTCAAACAGGAATGACCGTCTTTGTCAAGCACAACATTCTCTGGTTTCAAATCACGATAGATGATATTGTTGCTGTGCAGGTATCCTATCGCAAGGCCGATCTCTGCTGCGTAGAACTTGGCATGCTCCTCATCAAATGTACCGCAATTACAGAGGTGGTAAAAAAGCTCCCCGCCCCCTAGCAAATCCATCACTATATAAAGATAGTTATCAGTTTGAAACGCGTAGCGTAGCTTCACCACAAACGGGTGATCCATCTTCTCCATAATAAACCGCTCAAGCGACACGTTTTTAAAATCAATTAACTCCTTGTTCATAATTTTCATAGCATATTCTTCTCCAGTATCAATTCTCCTAACACGACAAACCGATCCATACGCACCCTTACCCAGAATGGTGATGCGCTCAAAATGATCCAAAGTAACATTTTCATTTGGATCAGCTGAAAAGATAGTCATGCTCCTCTCCAAGCTCTTAAAGCATTGGGTTATAGGACGCTCCACCTCTAAGTGTATCGTGTGCTCCGGTATGACGTTCCGCATGCTATCCAACCATTCCTTCTTCTCGCGTTCAGCAATCGCCGTAAAAAACATAGGAATGTGAATGTACGGACCGCGCACCGACCATGCTAGCTTTTTTCCAGGAACTTCAGTAATTACTGAGTCTTGTATGTCGAAGCAGGAGATTGGCTTGTGACTCGATTTCTGACCCTTTTCCGTCCAGTAATACAACGTCGATCCATACAATTCCATGTAGAATGTGGGACCTGTGTTCTGGAAAGGCTCAGTTGAAACCTGCAGGTAGCCTGCATAGTCACTACTGAGAGGGGATGCCATCTTTTGAATTGTCTCCTCAGTGTTTTCCTCTCTCACTCTAATGCGAGATTTTGCTCCGGAAGCAAATCAATGACCTATAAAAAATGTGTACGAAAGTGGCGCAATGGTACACGTGAAATATATATGATTATATATATATATAACTACACAAACCCTGTGTTAAGTGTATATCACTTTGTTTTTGATAATTTAAATGGTTTGCACTTTTGTCTACCAAGAACGCACTCTGAGAAAGTGAAATAATTTCAAACCCTAAGCACACGCCTAAAGCTGCCCAATTAGAGGAAACACCTCGCATGAAAGCTAGTATTCTGACATATTTACCTAAGCATAAACTTCCTCATTTTGAGGGGATATATCACCCTCTGAAAAGTAATTTTCATTCGATATTCACGATTTATGCGAGCATCTATCGTTAATGTGGTCAATATTCACGAATATATATATATATATATATATATACAATCATTAACTTAATTATACATTCTTTGTGTGTTCTTATGTATCATTATGCTCTCATCGAATAAATGTCACTCAACATTGGTTAGTCTGAGGAAAGCTGTAGGAGTTCTTTCTTACTGTTACGTGTATGCGCATATCTATTTTAAAGTTCCAGTTAATTCTCTTTGGGAAGAAGTCTTGCTATATTCTGAGTCTTTGGATTGTCGATGATGGTCGCTGCGACTTTTTCCAGAAAGACGGGCGAGATATCCCGAATGAAATCAGCCCCCTCCTTCTTCATACGAGCCTCAATAGAAGTCAACAGCGCCTCATCATTTCTTGTGTTCCGCAACTCATTATCCTGGGCAAGCGCAATACGCTTCACCACCAACAAGATCTGTTTCGGCGAGGCCTCCCCTACGTGTGCAAGCAACTCCTGTGGTAGCGTCGTTGTGAGGCTCGTCGGTGCGGGGGAACCATTTGCGGCAAATACGTTCTCCAGGTAAAAACGCAAAGATGCCAAGTCTGCGAAAAAACGTGTGAAAAGAAAAGCCTGTGTGGAAATGCCAGAATCGTCTACATCACTGCTTGGTGGATGCGGATCTTCATGGTTAGGACGAAGTGGTCGCTTTCCGATACAAAAATCACTGATTTGATTAAATAATTCAGTAGAAGGTAACCTTTGTGATTCAGCTGCCTTGACAAACTTACAAAGAGATACAAAACGTGGCTGATGATACCGGAAATGATTCTCCACACTCTCCAGTATCTGTGTCTGAACAGTTGCTGGTAGCTCAACACCACATAAACTGGAAAATATCCAAATGTCGGTCGCGGATTTCATGCTAGCGAATTGCGCTACGCGCTCAAGGCGTTCCAGCAAAGCCTTCTGAAGCTCCCCACACGCGTGAATAAGGTCCTCCTGGGGACTTTCGACGTATTTTCGAATTCTCACCAGCGCGTGGAAGAGCTCCCCAACCTGCTCATCGGTATGAAAGCCAGAGGTGGCGGTCACTCGACGAAGAAGCTTCACCAGGTGATCTTGCTCGACCAGAAGCAAGGTGGAGACCGTTAAAAATGTAATTGCCTCCTTGGAATGGATCCGATCAACATCAGTCAGTACCTTCTTCATAATGTGCTCCACCATAGCACGCCACTGAGCTTCGTCCATTTTCTTTAGCGGGTGCCAAGCTAACACGGTCGCTAATGTGGAGAGCTCTGAAATATGCATCGCATCAATGCACGGCTCGAGCAGTAACACTAAGTCATTCTGCAACTCCTTGTTATCCTCAATGCGGAGTCGTCGGAAGGCTTGAAGAATCATGACTATTTCCACAGGAGTCATATCCTCTAGGTGGGACTTTATAACCGGAACGATTTCATCGCATAATATCGTTTTAGCGTCCTGGATATCAAGAGAACCAACAGCATTTGAGAATAGTGCAACATTCTGTGCAGAAAGACCGCTGAGGTTTTCACGCATCCACTGTACTGCTTGTTTGATATTTTCTGACATATTGAAGTCAAATGTTACGGCACTGTTTAACAATAGCACCACAGATTTCTCATCCTGAGTAGAAGGATCAATCGATGCTTGTCGAAGCACGCGGCGTGCTTCATACAAAAACCCTCTGCGCTCCTTTGATGACTTCGCCTTTTTGTATTGTCGCTTAAGATCGAGAAGAATCTGAACGTCCTGGGCGAGGGAGTTGGGGGGACCCACGTTGCGGCCTCCATAACTCGGGTCCCTCGTGCTACGCTCGCCTTCCTCACAATACGAGCGCTCGGGTCCGCTACTGCCACCGAAGCGCTGTCGTGAAGGAAAGGATGTCGGCGCCGCGCTGCCGCGCGCAGCCCGGCCCTCCTGACGCGGCCGCGATTGATCCCAGGCCGGCCTGGAGCCCCCTTGCGGCGGCCCTCGCCTCTGAAACCCCACCCCCGTCGTGGTGAAGGCGGCCACACGATGCCCCATGCGTCCGCGAAGCGACAGCGACGCAGCGCAGATAAATAGACGCCGCATACTAGGAATAGATTTCCACGAATAAAGCTACACGAAACCTAGGAGCAATTGATATGCATAAAGATGTGAATATATAGGTATATTCTTGAAACCCTCTCACAACGGGAACACATAAGTTCATAATGAAAGCAAAAAAAAATGGGCTCATAAAGCGATGAATTGGTCCGGTAGTATAGAATATGGTGATGAATTTCAAAACGAGAAAAACACTGCAATGCATATATATATATATATATATGGCACATAAAATGTACATCTCCGAGGAGTATCTGAGTTTAGTTTTATAAAGGTGTAAACAAAAGCAGCGAGCAAATGATGAATATGTGACCTGCATGTTTCTTGGTATCAGTTAGTGATGCCAGTACATTAAATATATTATTCAGAAACCCCGTTTTGTAAGTGGAAATCTACGAATGGTGCTTATGTACTGGTCCTGACATTGGTAGGCCATATTGTGTTATTACATCGCCAGTATGTTCATATTTGGCTCATTCTTGCTGCCCTGCGTCAGTTGCACCATTTGGAATGAGCGACTGAAGGTATCTCTTATGAAAGGTAAGCCGCTCTGCATCGGATGTAGGTCGCTCACACAGCAATGCGAGGACCCACGCATCCAGAAACTCACTCACGTTCATATCACGCATGTAGCGATTATCCTCTAACTTCTTGGGTTTGAGCTCAATATCGCCAGCCTCCTCTTTTCCCTCGATAATATTGTTGACAAGGCTAAGTGCATATAGTGGAAGATTCTCCGGGTGGTTCTGTATAATATTTCGTGCGATCATTTCGAAGAAATCCACCGTCGCCCCTTGACGAAGGTAAATTTTCGCATCATTGATAGAGTGCTCATCTCTTGTCCATTCAGGTACATTCATGTTGATACTGTTATTCGATATTAATATTGCTACAGTGTCTTACTTAGCTTGTTAAGAAATGATGGTATTTACTACTTACACTTCACACTCACAGCACAAATCTTCGCAATACGCTATGTTTTACGTGGAGTTAAATATTTTGATTAACGCATGGGGAAAAAAGGAGAGGGCGTAAATACAGTTTACAAGTAGAATCTGTTCATTTTCAGAGAAGCACATGAAGACAAAATATAAATGTACACTCGTGTATATATGGCTAAACTTATTGTATGTATCACTTCATTTCATATAGTTAATAATTAGGAAGATGTGCAAACATGGTGATCATGGGAATGGTTAGCTCCTCAGAAATAAGAGAAATTTCGAAATGCCTCTCTATCTCAGCTCATCCACCCAACCTATTCGAAAAAAATAAAGATACCATCATGGTATAAACACCTCTTAGAATGAGAGGCAAATATCTACCGAATGCATGTATTAAAAGCAAGAATTGCAAAATTATAATAAACAACTATAAAATATCACTATATATTCACGGAGTATCTTAACATAACATTTTTGAGAAGATATCGAAATCAACCGCAATACTATTAAAGCAACCCCCTTACTGACATTAGAAAACGAAAACTAGCATTCCCTTCGGATTTCCTAATGTGGCGAGTCATCTCCTGCTTGGTAGCCCGAACGCCCTCGAGACTTAAACCCACTCAGTAAGCCACGGCCACAGGCTTTACTTTTCTCATTACTTGGAGTCATCTCTAATGTAGCTTTATCGCCCTCGGGGGTCCGCCCCATCTGCTTCCGGTTAGAATTGGATAATTGCCAGTTATCGTGAAGCACCGGTGGGGTAACATCACTCACATTCTCTACGACGACATCTGGCCGCCACGCATCCCTCTACGAAAACGATGCTGTGGCGCGCCGTAGTCTTCTGCAGACTCATCGGGGGTGTTGGGCGGGCCCTAGAACCCCCCCCCTGTTGCCTTTCCCACGCCTGAACCTTCCCGCCGCACCACGTCCTCCTGGCAGGCCCCCACCATGGCCCCCTCTCCGACCATTTTTAGAGTACTCCTCCTCCGTTTGAAACGGACGATATTTTGGCTCGCGGAGGTTCGATCGGGGAAGTTCATTTGTGTTCGACAAAGGCGGCCTACCCTCGCGCCGTACCTCTTCTAAAGGGCTGGGGCACCCAAAATTCCGCACACCGCAGCGCGGCCCAGGTGTAAAGAAGGGAGCGGCCAACGGAGAAATCATCGGCGGCGAGATCCCGCTGACAGTCGGGCTAGGGCTGCTGCTCGTCTTCCGGAATAGGATCTTGCAAAGGTGAATGGCCTCATTGGAGACGCGTGGCATTTCCACGTAGCGCATCACCACTTGTTGCAGGGTCTCTTCGATATTTTCGTCAATGATGGCCTTTGCAACCTGGTCGTTCTCCCAGCACAGGTAGGTTAATGCCTTCAGTGCGTGAATCATGACTTTATCCGAAGCCAAGTGCTCACGCATGGAATTTATAATGAGCGGGATCACACCAGAATCAACAAGCAGCTGTCTATTACTTTCGGAATTGAAGGAAAATTGCGAAATGGCCCTGCATGTAGACTTTTGCAAAAGTGCATTACTTGAGTGTTTTTTCATCATATCGATAATATGTGGGACTGCATTCACTGCCACACGCTCCTTGATATTCGTATTCCATGCCAAGTTACCTAAAAGAGAGCATCCCAACTCTAGCATTCGCAGCTGCTCAAACGTTTTGGTTGCGTATATAACACATTCAATTCCTCCTAATTCAAATATTTGTTCTTGTGCAGTGAGGTTGTCAAATGCAAGGGCGCTGAGCCCAGCACAAGCATTCAATTGGACCTTCGAGCTATTTTTAAATTCATTCATGGTGTCTATCAGGAATTGCACCCCGTTTAAATCTGTGATGGCCCAGTTAAGCTTGCTATGTTCGTACGCAAGGTGGGCCAAAGCATTGCACGCCTCCTGCTGGATAAGCTCCACATGAAGAAAATTTTTCATGGCCGTAATTACCACCTCCGGGGCTTTGAGATCGTACAGGAGATCCTTATTTGCAGTGGATAACAAGGACAGCGTGACGATGGCGCGACACCCTTCCTCCTGTATCTCAGGGGATTTCTCGAATCGGCGCATGGCGGCAACAACCTGCACTAGCGCAGGCGAAAGATCATCAGACGGAAGAGCGTAAATGCCTACCAGCGCATGGCAAGCATGCTCCTGGACCTCTTGGTTGTTAGGGTGAATCCGCATAGCATCCATGATGGCCTTGTACCCACCACACTCCCTTATTTGTGCGGCGTGACCTTTATCAGACCATGACAGATACGACAGAGCAATGCAGCCGTGCATCTGAACGCGGTCAAAAGTCGGATGCCTCTGCATTCCCCTCACAACTAAGGGAATGACACCCTTATCGCACATCTCATCACGATATTTCTCAGAGTTAAATGCAATCTGATCGACAGCACGGCACGCATTCTTAACAAGCCCAAAGCTCATGTAATGCTCCTTCAAAGCCTTGATAATTATGTCAATACCACCGAGGCGTACGATTTCTGCCTTCAAATCTGGATTCCAACACATTGTGCCGATTACCAAGCAGCCACTCTCTTGTAGTCCAGCCTTCTTCCCTTGACGCATTGCATTGAGAATAAGGGATACCCCTTCATTAGCAATGAGAATTTTTTGGCCAATGGGATTATCAAAGGCGAGGCCAGATACTGCTGAGCATGCTGACATAAGCAGATCTTCATTATCCGGGAACCTACGCATGGCATCGAGAGCAAGATGTATCCCACCCAATTCGGTAATCTCATGAGTGATTTTATCTGAGTCAAATGAAAGGTATGACAACAAACCGCAGGCTCCCTCTATAAGGGATTCGTTTGTATTATAAATGCGCATAACTTCGAGAATCCGTGGAACACACCCTGTGGAGAAGATTTTGGGCTTCCTGTCCCTGAAATTAGAAGCCACACTAGACAAAAAGTGAATCCATTCAAGCACCAGAATCTCTGAGTTGGCTTTGTGAAATAATGGCAAGATACTATCCAAATCAATGTATTTGGAGGAAGGAATGCTGCTAAAAACACGCAGTACATGGTAGCAATGCAGCTCCAAGTGCTGAAAGCAAATCAACGACTCGGAAAGATGCAACATAACCTGTGATTCAGGGTTGATTGCATCAGTCATCCCTGAACTCGTTATATTCGCTGCTATACGTGCAGCACGCGTTGTTACCTCTTCATCGTCTAGGTAACTATGCAGCACAGATTCGAGCGCGCGGACACCTCCAGCTTCGACGAATTCTCGATTAGTTTGTGAAAATCGATGTGGAATTTCAGCATGATAAGAAGTGAACTCTGCAAGCGTGTAAATTGCTGGCTTGAGCACTTGCTTATCCTCCACATGTATGTGAAGTACATTTGTCAGCTGAATAATGCTGTCGTTGATATCATACATGTTAAAGTGAGATAGTAGGATACATGCAGACATCACAAGCTGGGAGTTCTGAGGAAATTCTTTCAGAGCCCGAACAGCAATGCATGGTGCATCGAATTCTAAAAAAAGGGATATCGTTAGATCGTCAGTGCAATAGTAATGAATCAACGCACACGCCCATTTGATAAAATCAGACCAAGAAGGATGCTCAAGAGCTACCTGTGCAACTTCCTCTATTAGAACTTCTACGTCGTCCGGAGATAACTCAGTTGCGATGCATGTGTTAACGATATGAATCATGTTCTGCGCTGAAGTTGTTTCCGTTGAAGTTTGGAGACGGCTTCGTAGAAGCTCGATACGGTGCTTGGGATCGGGTGCCTGAGCACATAATATCGTATAAAGTGGTGTATTTATGTACTCACCCTTCAACTCCATTATGGGTGATCCCGTGACAATCTTGAGGAATAGCTGATCCATATGTGATTTTACTGTTAGCATGTATAGAGAGAGAGATGAAACACCTGATTTTTAACCTTATGATGCGAAACGTTGGATCGATTATTTCAATCTTCTGGTGTAACTCTGGTAGAGTATATAAAAATAAATGATGATAAATGTATAGATACTGTTTTACTGATTAAAAAAAATGTCGAAAATAAAAGAGTAAATCCTGCATCTTTACCAATGTGAGCCACGCAAATAAAACAGTGAAAACAGTTGATGGATAAAGACTTAATCTGAAAATATTTTATACACATCAATTACGATTCGGCAAGATAAAAGTTCAGAAGCTTCTCTACAGAAATAAAGCAAATTCTTTGATGACAAATAAGGTCACCACCTGCATTTGCCTACTGAATATTTTTGTGGTCAAACAATGTTTGAGTGTGCTTAATCATACGACATCGTTAAAACTCCTGTGAATTAGCGTAGTATTTAAAAAATAGAAAACCTAGATCTAGCAGCAAATCAGATTTTAAAAAATCTCATTATTAAAAATGTAATAGTACCTAGCCTCAGACCCTTTTTTGAATATCCTTCACTACCACTTCTCCATGCATTTTTGTGTAATATAGATAATAAGCTTAAACATACCATGAGTAAATTTGCTAACGGAAATGGTTTCGAAAAAGCTAATTAAACTATTTATAGAAATTCTCTCCATCCCTCCACAATACATTTCCACTTGTAACCCCGGCCCTTGATAATGTATTGCGTTATTATGAAGTGGTCAAGCAAATTCAGGTAAAGGGACACAAAATCCACCCCATCAAATGAAGTATTATTGATGTGTTAAAAGAAGTTTTAAATCATCTCCATCTCCGGGATGGAAACGGAGGGCAAGCGGCTTAAGTTTCTTCCTCACGGTTTCGTCAGAAAAGTGATGGCTACGGCACGTGGATCAAGGGTATAGCCCCGTCTGGGAATATTGAGAAACATTCCTCTTGTTCATGGACATCCTCTTCAGTAGTCTATACAACCCTTTGAGTTTATTTAGACCTGCAGCATACATGATTATTAGTGGGAAACATGACTTGCGGGCAATGTCATGATATGTATAAATTCAGGAAATGATCCACACGACGGTGAAAAAAACATGAGATCAAGCAAGATCGCATCGGAAATTTTAAATGGTGAATCTTTTAATAGTGAATATTAGGCCATTTGGAACATGATAAATGCGCACACCCATGTTTGTGCACTTAAAGCCTATTCAAGATCAAAAATGCATGAGTAGACAAACAATTGGAAAAGAGCACCTTAGTGATCAAAAGAGTTTGATGTTTAATGATACACATCAACTGCACAAAGCACATCAAGGAATGTGCTGTGTAATCGTAAGACGATCCTGCTCATCAATCTTCAGGACACATGTAGCCAGCGTTCGACAATATGAAGCCTAGTAATTAGCAGAGCTTCTAAAAAAAAATTGAGACTTAGAAATCCAAGAGAAAATCATATAAGCTCTAGGCCGTATCAAGCCATATCAATCATAATAATGGTGATAAGCAATAAACCCCACTGTCTGAGCTGTAATTCACTCAAAATAAAAAGTAATTCAGAGAAAAATGCACGATTATTTTAATAACTTTGAACAAAGCACGTCCCATTTTTGTCCCCTATTGGTAAAGATTCCTCCCCTCATAGGATTATATATTGACAAAAGAATCATATTTTCCTATTTTTTCAAATACAAGGGCGAAAAATGGTTGAGGGGAATAGTAGGTATTAAAAATAATAAACCGTGCGCGAAGAAAAAAAATACTATTGAAAAATTTATTTATATTTTTCATCCCTCATATTTGTCTTTCGTAAACCCAAAAATGAAGATTACTCACTTAAGATTGAGTACCGTATTAATTTCCGCATATTTATCAAGAAGCAAATCCTTCGCAATCTGATTCGCCACATCGGAGGAGCGAAGTAGCGCCACAGCCGCCAAGCCAAAAAACATCGCCGTTCCAGGACCACGGCTTGTGAGACAATTCCCACACTTCACAACGCAGTCCGATGATGGGTTGATGTGGGCGGGAAACTTCGACTCCATACCTGGATAGCACGTTGCTGTCTTCACGCCTTCGAGCGCTCCAAGTGGTACGAGCGATAGAACGGGTGCTGCGCAGATACCACCATACAGTTTGTCGCTCCTGCGCATTTCGTGCAGAATTTTGCCGAGAGTTTCACTTTTTCCAAAGTTCACAGAGCCGTCAAACCCACCAGGGAGCAATACGGCGTCAAAATCGCTTGCAGATAAATCCTTGAGGAGCGCATCGGCTACAAGCTTCAGACCACGGGCAAGAGTGACATTCACACTTTCCATCACTGAGGCCACAGTGACCTTAATCCCACCGCGAACAAGAACATCAGTTAAACAAGAAAGTTCAATGTCTTCACTGCCGTCCGCGACAGGAACAAGAACGTGTTTGGACATGATAATTTTTTTGTGATTTGATTACCGATAATGGTGTTGCTTTGAATATTACAAAAAAAAAAGGTTCCAAATGCATGCTCGCAAGCAGTAAGGAAGAGGACCCCCCATAAAAAAAATCAGAATTGTGTAACAGAAAAAAAATTCCGCAGCTTCTTCACATCCTTGTGAACCAAAGAAGTGATTTAACAGGCAAGCCCCATGTCTCTTAAATATTTACTCTTGGCGACGTATTATTACGGAAATATTCCCTCCAACGGGAAACACACATACCATAAGACATACGGGATCCGTGTTTGAATTAGGCACCAACTGACCTAACACGTGAACCGTGTCCCCATCATTCAAGTGTTCCGCTGCGAATGTGCAGAAGGTTACACCAAAGGCACGCACCAGAGCAGTGCTAGGGACTATTTTCCCAAAGAAGTCAATCTCATAGTTGATATGAAAGTCCAAAAAGATCAAACTATCTTTCAGAGATGTATTTTCCTTATTTTCTATGCGAGAAAGAGATTGCTTCTTGCAAACCTGGCCGACTAAGCTCACAACTGCAGCAGAACCGCAACTACGAAGGCAAGGTAACTCACTAAGCTTCTCAACACTTGATGGAATGAAGTTCTGTGGAGAACCCTCAACCGTTAACTCAGCTGATGTCAGGAACGATTTAGCTGGAAAAGTAGGCAAATACTGCTCTAATTTATTGCGCTTTGTGATGAGGTCCTTCTCATGCTTCAAAACCTCTATTTCTTCTTCGACATCTTCTATAGCCTGCTCAAGTTTGCGCTTTCTTGCTTCTTCGGATTTTATTTGGGATAAAAGTTTACCAGGAACATCCAAATCAGCATCAGTCGACTTCTTGCTTTCAGTTTCTGATGTTTTTGGAGAATCATAAATATTGCATGATTCCAACTCTGAAAGGAACATATCTAAGGTGTTGTCTTCATTGCCAGCTTTGCATCGATAAGCAAGAACAAAAGTTAAATTCAAATATTTTAGAAAACTTACATTCAAGCGTCTCATGTTTCATCTGTGTAGAAAGATGATAGAACAAAAAGTGTTTCGGATTTATTAAATGGTGAACTAACATTATTGAAGCATATTGAATACCAGCAAAAGGCATTGAGTTTATTTTTGTTGCTGTGTCACGAAGACAACCATCACTAACAATAATGATAATAACCAATAATGGAAGTAAAAACTTGACACAAATAGCAATTCGATTTCATTTAGGAAGTAATCCAGCCTTGATGTAATCAAGGCGTTGCTTCTTTGTCAACATCTGATCATCGATCAGATCCATTCGAGGCTTCGTCAATGTATTCATTTCTTTCCCAATGTTCCATCGAGAAGGTTTATTAAACTCAAAAACTGATGGGAAGGACTTGACTCTAACCTTAGCATCACTGCTTGCATGTTGAAGTGTGTACACCTGTCTTTTCGATACAAAAAATTTCCCTGTCCAATCCCCTGTGATGTAATTATCTTCAGGTAAGAAAAATGACTGACTCTTTGCCGTCATATATGACCAAAAGTAAGGAGCCTTCATGTTCATCGAGTGAGTATTCTTAATATGTGACCTCCTATGAAAGGGATACTTTCTACGACCACGACGACCAAGATAATATCCAAATGCTGACTTGGCAATCTTCAACAGTCGCTTCTGCTCGACCTCAGGAAACACTAAAAGTTTTGTACATTGCTTACTCGCAATTATGTTAGAAAAACGCCGCAGCATTGTTCCCTAAGCTAACAATAACTAGCTCAATAAAATACGCACTGAATGTAGATAAAAATATATGGATAGTATACGTACCTACGCCCTAATATGCAAATTTTTCCCCGATTCATAGCGAAGAAACAGAAAAGTTAGCCTATAAGTCATTAAAAATGAAACAATCGCTAGTTTTTGGAAAATGTGTAAAATGAAATTAAGTTTTAAAAACGTATGTTAGAACTTTAGCTACCTCTTACTTCTGAGGAGCCTCCGACACACCAACTTCCGCAGCCCTGATAACAGTATCCCCCATCTTATACCCGTTTTTGATTACTTTTGTGATGCAGTTCGACGGAAATTCATCTGATGAAGGGCTGGTAAATAACTGATTATGATAACGAGGATCAAATTTTTCTCCAATTTTAGTTTCTAATCGCTCAATACCATGTCGCTCAAAAAGTTGAAGCAACACCTTGTTTGAAAGATCTAGACCGTTTAGTATGGATTGGACAGATCGCGAGATTTCATTATTTTCCTTTCGATAACTTTCGCATAGGGAATTAACCTTTTCCAAATCGTCTGCCGTCTCCAGCATATCTTTTGCGAATTCAGACACAGCAGATTGTTTAGCAGACTGAATGCTTCTCGCAGACTCCTTTCGAAAGTTGTCAAGATCAGCAACACAATACAGGATATCCTTTTTGTATTCATCAATACGTTTCTTAACCTCCACAAGCTCGGTTTTCAGTCTTTTATAGTTTGTTAGCATATTCGAATCCGAAGGCAACTCTTCCTTTTCAGGCAATTTCGGATTTTCATCACTTTTGTTATCTGCGGAATCGGATGATTGCCAGCGAGCAGATACAAATCGGCCCACCACAGTCTGTGGTAAAGCAGCACAAAAGACACGACGCATGGTTAAAATAATAAAATTCTCTTAGAATTTTAAAGTGGTGACAATGATAATACGACGTTGATGTTGTTTTCTTTTTTCTTTTTGAAAACCTTTGATACTTATGAGGAAAGTGAAAGTAGAAGAAAGAGTATCAGCTACTGAACCAAACCTTTCGTGCTAAATCGACATGGGTCCCACACAAATATTAAATTTACTCGAAAGAATATAAAATAAGTACGTGGTTTATTATGCATGACAAAAACAACAGTATTTCAGAAGAATTACTACTTTGTCTAAATATGAGATGCCGCTTAAATTTGTAAATTTAATCCAAAATCATTCAGTTATTAAATAACCGATTTCGTAACCAAATAATATCATCTTGCCAAAAAAAAAATTATTCTTCATCGGGTGAATAAGAGACACCGACCTGGGCAGCTCGTAGAACACGATTTCTAATGCTATATCCATCTTTTAGAATATTCGCTACTGTTCCAGGTGGTGCCTTTTCAGTTGCTGCAATACGAACCAATGCATCATGATAATTTGGATCAAATACCGTACCCACGGTTAATTTCATCTTTTCGATACCATGTTTGGCCATGTTTCTATGCAACACCTTCTCAGACAATTTAACCCCGGTGTAAATCGAATGCAACGATTTATTATCTTTCAGCACCTCATCGGCTAAAGCATCAAAACTTTCGATACCTTTTCCAAGAATATCAGCCACCTCGAGCATGTCTTTGGCAAAACTAGTGATGCTATAAAGCTTAGCCTTGTCAACGTCCTCACGACTGATACGGCGAGCGTTTGCCGCATCTGCAGCACGGTATTGCAGCTCTTTTTTGAGAGCTTCGACAGTTTCTTTTGCGTCCCTTAGTTCTTTTTCGAGATTTTTTAATGTCTCGTTTGACACCTTCTCCTCTTGACCATCAACTTTGTCTTGCTTTTCTTTTTCAATATTTTCCTGATTCGCATCAGTCGAGGACCAAACACGGCACGACGAAATTGTCACTAGGCCCATACGGGTTACATATGACGCCACAGGTAACGAAAAGGCACGCATACTGCGTTGATAATATGTCAAATTCAAAAAAAAATGAATATGAACCCTTTAAAATATTATTTTAATGCGTAGAGAAAAAAGTAAAATGCTCGTCATAAGCTAAAGCATAGAAACATTGCACTAATAAAAAAAAGACAGACGGACATTAATCACAATTATTCTTAATATATATATATATATATATATTTATATATATATATTTATATATATATATTTATGTATATATATTTAGTTAGGTAACAAACAATCCAGCTCTGTTACATCAACCGGAGTCATAGAAGATCTACTTCTTATAAAGCACCATGCAAATCTAAATTGCTGCATTTGTTCCTTAGAAACAAAATCCAAGTTTCGAACCCCAATATCGTTTCTTTTGAGAAAAATCGGAATCGAGCTTAAAAGTGCATAATTAAATGCTAGCAATGAAATTCTGTGGAATAAGGGAGTCCGAATGTTAGTTTTTTGATCGATAACAGAAAGGTTCACCATAGTACCTAATCCAATGGTGTATGTAAGATCATGCCGTTTTGCTAAATCCTCCGATTGTGTCGTGTGAGAAGAATCGATAAATCTTTCACTATTCGCAACTAAAAGGAATTCACTCGAGTCATTAATAAAAGGAACTGTATGCGTATCAGATACCCCTGTCAGTAAAGATCCACAGCATTCAAAAAAATCGGCTATCGGTTTACATTTAGATCCCTCTCCCTTCAATTCGCATAGCAACCCGTCACCCTGTTCCCGGTGATCAAATAATTTAAGAGTTATAATGCCATTTGATCCAGGTGCAAGATACCATTGCAGCTCTATCCGATTTAGCTCCTTTTGAAACTCCGTCCATGACTCCATAAATAGCGGCTTTTTTAGAAACCCATAGCTGTCTTTGCAGATTGCTTCAGCACGTAACTCTGAACCTGGATCTAGTTCAAGTTTTCCTCGAGGCTCACGCGGACTCGATGCCACGCGCTTCCCAAAACGTGGCACACTGCTTATTGCTGGAATCCCTTTCGAAGGTCCAACCATTATTTGCCTCTTGAAGGATCCAAAAAATGTCGGTCTTTTCAAAAAAAGCATGACGACTACCTCGTTGGCATACTTATAAAGAATAAACGAAAGAAATAGGAGATATTGACTAACATGGAGGAATGCGGCACCCACCCTGCCGCGACACGTAAAGCCCAGATGCCAATATTATCACCAAACAAAATACCCGACACCCCAGCTTAACCCATACCCTTTCGTTACAGGGGGGGGGGGGGGGGGCATGAAATCGGACAAGACGAGATATCTTAAAATGCACCCCGAGCCAGGCCAGTACCAGGGAGAACAGACGAACAAACTATCCAAGCGGAAGCCACATGGTGAAGGGGGGGGGGGGCTCACGGCGCAAGCAGAGAACAGGGCATGATTCTTTTCTCGGGGGGGGGGAATGGGGAATGAGGGCAATGTGCAAAATCCCCCTTTCGGAAGCGCATTCATTAGTTTTGGGCTGGTCTTTCACCCCCTCGGAAGGACTTTGTTTAATTTAGGCGCGCCTGTCACTGTCTAATAATTATCGACCCTCTGTGCAGTAAGTTGATTTTTTTAAATCTTCGCTACCCACCCCTGGCGAATTAAGAAACCCTTTGATCATTGAGTTCGATAGAAATTATTTATGTATGAACAAGATTTTACAGATACTTGTAAAAAGCTGCTACGCAATGGAACTCCACTTTTATGTCTGCGTCACCGTGAATTTTCTCTTTCCTAATTCTTACCAATAAAAAAGGTAAAATGGATTTGGTAACTACACTGAAAAAAAATATCCAACGGTTCGTCGACGATAGGCAGCCTTTAAGCGCATTGCCTCTAGCTGAAATTTTATGCGAAATAAGTCAAAACGATAAGGAAAGCCATCTTCTAAGGACGAAAGCTCTTTTTGAAGCACGTGAATTTGAAAATGTTGTGCATGCTGTGAACTTCGCACTGCGTGATGACGATAGAAACATGGAGCTCGTAGCCCTAGGAATGAAGGCTGCATTTGAACTCGGTGAATTAAAGCAGTGTGTGAAGTTTGCAAATGCACTGATTCAATCAGATAAAGAAGGTGTATGCGCTGTATGCTACATTGCAAAGTGCTCGGAACTTTGTGGGGACACAGCGGAAGCTGTACACTTTTACAAAATAGCACTTGAGAAAGATCCATTTTGTGTAGAGGCCTTGACGGCTATGATCAAAAGGAAGCTACAGACACCCGAAGAAATTTCCGATTTTATTGATACGCTTCACCTTCCTCCTGAAGCAGAAATCATTAAAAAATGCTATAAGGCAAAGTTAAACTTTGCTGATTTGGATACTGATTGGTCTCAAGATGTTCCTGTTCAGCTAGTCCTTTTGCAAAAGGTTCGCCGAGAATACGGAAAAAATAATCTGCATAAAGCTTTGTTATTAGTCACCAATTTTTTAGAGCGCGATCCCTATGATCGCGATGCTGTTTGCCTTTACTTGTCCATTCTTGTGGATATGAATGCAACACCAAAACTATTTGAGGAAGCACATTTTCTTACGAAGAGCAAATCAAGATCTGAATTAGCAGTTTATGCGATCGGATGCTACTATTATTCACTCTCTAACTACGAAAGAGCTGGTCGTTATTTTTGTCGTGCCACGGAGCTTGATTGCTATTTCGCTGAGGCTTGGGTGGCATATGGGCACTGCTATTCAAAATTAGAGGAAGGTGAGCAGGCTCTGGGTGTGTATAGAAGGGCGATGAATTTTTTCCCAGGCTTAACAGAATGTTTGACTTTTGCTGGAATGCAGTACAGTCGAATTCACCAGTGGCCGATTGCTGTGTGTTTTTTCGAAGAGTCTCTAAAGAAATCTCCGAATAATCCGCTAGTGCTTAATGAAATGGGGGTTGTATTCGTACGTAATGGTAATCTTCAAGAGGCATTGAAATATTTTTACCAAGCTTACAACAATCTTCCAAATCGAGAAAATCCATCTGAAAGACAGGATTGCATTCTTTTTAATTTGGCTACCATTCTTCGAAAGCTTGGGGATTATAAAGAGGCGATAAAATATTATAGTCATTACGTAAAGTGTCGGCCAAGTGCCGGACACGCACATTGCGCACTTGGATTTACGTATCACCTATTAGGCAACCTCAAGGTTGCCATTGAACACTATCACACGGCCCTCAGCATTAAACTAGATTCATTTTGTAGAGGCTTATTAGACAGAGCACTATCCACAGACTTTGGACGCAACATTAACGAATTGATGTGGAACAAGGAGGGAACTAACTTTGCATCTCATGGAAAAGTTTCCTTTTCCACCATCTCCAAAACGTTCCGTTCTGCATCCTCCGCTGAAAGTGCGATTGACACTCCAAAAACAAGTGTCGGAAGAAGTCTATCGTTTTGAAATACTTACCTCAGTTTTAATAAGTTGTCGTGAAAGGTGCAAGGGTTCACAGTACTTAAATTTTATAGAATCTAAAATATTTCATGACTAATCTAGGAAATATGTTTAGGTGGTCATTTTTTATCCCAATATTTTCATTTAAAAATATATTTTTATATACGGAAAATTCAGGTATCGCATAGAGTACACCATTTATTGCTTTTAGGTAGTTTAAACCCATAGTATCAAATATGACTGCTGATCCATATGCCTACGCTGAGATAACACAAGTTGAAGTAGGCATTGTCAGACATTTTCTGAAGGGGACTGAGGGGATGAGTGAAGATAAACTTGTTGACGAACTATTTGAACTTAAACAATATATCTCTAGTCTTGGAAGTTTGGAAGTTGAAAGGATCATCGAAAAATGTAATGAGGATGAAAAGCATGATGAAATAATTTCGCATCTAAAAAATGCTGAGTTGGAGAATCGTAAAAAATCGAAACAAGGCTTTTTTAGGTGGATATTTAAAAAAAGTGAAAGGGAAGACAAAACAGCGCTTGACCTGTCTGACCCAGAAAAGAGAAAGAAAAAAATAAGCCCGAAATCTTCTCGTGAACATGACAATGAGGAGCGAATCATCCCTCCCTTAACACAGCCAGAATCACCTCAATCGGCATATCATGTGGATAATAAGGAATACTCACCTGAAATGTCTGGAAATACATCAAGTAGTCAATCTACCTCCCCTAGAGTAGCTCCCTTTGTGTTTCAGACACGTTTGCAAAGTCACGAAGAGGATGAATTATCACACCAGTATAATTTTCAGAATACTGCGAGTAGCTCAGCTTTAATCAACAGTGTTGAATTCAATCCTCAAAATGATAGTGAATTTCAAGAAATTTTTAGAAAATTTGTCAATAAATTTTCTGATAATTAATTGCAATTCTTGTCTCAACTCTTTTCTTGCTAATTTTTTTTTGGTATTTTCACCATTTCACCCAATGCATCCTTCTTACAGGTGATAGAAATGTTTATGCACGTTTAAGTGAACTTCCCTCCCGCTTTCTTTATGGCACAATGTGTTTTCAAGCCAAAGGAAACATGCGCAGATCAGCTTTGATTCTGTCAATACAGAAAACAAATGTTGAGTACTATTTAGATTACTTGAAACGAGTTGACAAAGATCTTCCAATTTTACAGGATGTTTTTCCTAAACTCCCTGCGAGAGACGAGGATGTCATAGAGTTCCATACCAAATTGTGCTCAGTAATGAAAGATAACAACTATAGGTTTAAAGGCATCAAGGTCACACCTTTATCGAATGAAACTGTGCGCTCGCTTCACGGAACGAAGCCCATTTGTGTACCTGTGTTCTCGAATTTTTTCCAGGACAAAACCTTTTCAAAAAACCAATGTCGCCTGCAGTACGTTGAACCTGCAATTTGTTTCAAGATTGGCGATATATCTAATCCATCAGCATTAGGAAAATGTGTCTCTTACTTTCCTGCAATTGAAGTAGTTGGAACTCGTTTTCCCTTCTATCCTCCTTCAATTAGCGGCTTTGCATGTGATTTGTGCAGCTCTGTTGGTTTTTCGGTTGGAACAGAAAACAAGCTTACCTCAAGCTCTACCAAAACCTTACCAGGCTATCATTTTGTTCTTTTGCATGACGATGATCCAATTCAGGTTGGATGTCTAAATCTAAGTTCTGATGATCCGCTTCAGTTGATAAATCTAGCACACACATATGCTTCTAAAATAGGATGTCCTCTCCAGGAAGGACATTTTATTTTGTGTAGCGGCGTGAGTCCGCGAACGCCTGCTAAGGTGGGAGATTATACAATTCAGTGGGGTGCGTTTGGAACTGCTACCTGTACGATTGTGTAATAAACTAAGCGCGTTTTGGTTTACATGTTTACTAACATTGTATCGTTTTCTTATGCGTTAATGACATGCTATTATGATGCTTCAATGTATTTGCTCTTCAGACCTCTGCAATAGGCTAAAAAAAATATTGTGACTTAAAGAATGTCAGTTGCAGATCAAGAGGGAATAGAATGCTTGATTCCATGCAATGATCAGTGTGGAGGAAATTATGAAAAGTACCGCTTCGGCCAAACCGATAAAGAGGTAGAAGTCTTTGTTCCTTTAGATGAAAACACTGCTTCAAAGCAACTTAAAGTGATCATCAATCCTCATGATTTGCATATTGCTGTAAAGGGTGTAACAATTTTATCTGGAAAGCTTTTCAAGCCGATTAAAGCTACCGAAAGCACATGGCTTATCAGAGACAGTGAGCTAGTAGTGGTATTAGTAAAAACCAATTTACATTACGAAGAGTGGTGGCCTCTGGTAGTCGAGGGGGAAGTTCAGATCGATATGAAAACACTTAAACCTCCAGAAATCCATCTTGCAGAATTAGATGACGGAGCACGAGCCACAGTAGCCCGCATGATGTTTGATCAACAACAGAAGCGTACTGGAAAGGCCACAAGTGAAGAACTTATGTATACGCAATAATGCAAGGCGTTACTAATTTTACCATTATTATTATTATTATTATTGTTATGCAACTGAATAAGTCATTTACTGTACTGGCCTGACTCTGTGGACATAGATCTATGTATTTATTTACCCTTTCATTGCTGCCACTTTTGATTTCTGTATCAACTCTAAATAATCTGTACCTCGATAATATAGGTAGAGGAAGCTATGCCCTCTTTAAACTTTAGGGATAAATTATTGGAATCTCTTAATCCGCCAGCTGAACATCAAACATGGTGTAAAGGTGCTTATTATAATCATTATTTTCGGCAGTTGGAGCAAGCGGAAGAAATGCAAGCAGAGGAAATGTTAAGGTGTGATCTCACACCTCGCATTCGGAAAAATAAGCGCACCTCTAGCATGTTGAAGAGTAAAAAACAGGTCAATAGTCAAAGCAATAAAAATCTGAATTTGAATACAAGCAAGTCGGTGGAGTCTGATGCCAGGGGCCAAGATATTGAGCAAAAAGCAGGTCACCAAACTCTTCTTGCACATAAGAAACCTACACGCAATCAATGCTTTGGTGGAAAAAGTCATGCAGACTGCACTGATCAGAAAGAGAAAAGCACCTATACACTCTCAACAAAAGCGTGCCAGCTCCATCCTCAGCCAACGGTGTGTGATCTTTTGCAGCATTCATACAATAAGCTGAAGCACGATAACGCGTCAGCGTTTGTTTTCCCTCCTCTTCTTACACCCTTTAAGCGTTCTTTCTTTCATTATTTTGACGAAAAAACACGACCCATAACACATACTTCGTACCAAGCCAATCCAATGTATAGGAATTTTTCGGAAGCCCGTCCCATCCGTGACACATTACAGCAAAGAAATAATGTTTTCTCTTGCGCTGAACGGAAAATAATTGATGAGCCTTTTCAGGGGCAAGTAAACGGGCCCCCTGCTTTTATTTCCTCCTGGGCTACTCGGATGGATCACTCCTTTTAGTACTACATCTATCCTGCACTATTAGATTCATAATAGATGTACATGTAAATATTGTAATATTTTATGGATTATATCTGCGGGCCCTAAATTCAAAGTCGTTTATTTGTACTCTCTACCTTTCGCTAATGTAATCTTCATCGGCTGTCGGTTCGCGTTTTTTGACATGAAAATTAACCACACCGCTTTGCAACTGCAGTTATTTTGATTCTGCTCCATGCAGACTGCCTCTCAGTGTGGATTATATTAAATATAATTTTATTCAACTGTTGGTTTCCTCCTCCTTTTACACTAGTTCCTCGTGTTTATATTTCAAGATGGGCAAGGTCCACGGCTCACTCGCTCGCGCCGGTAAGGTCAAGAACCAGACCCCCAAGGTCGCCAAGCAGGACAAGAAGAAGGCCCCTCGCGGCCGTGCACTTAAGCGCTTAAAGTACACTAAGCGCTTCCTGGCTAAGACCCTGAAGCCTGGCGAGAAGGTGCACATGAATAAGCAGCCGCCGGGTAAGGCTGGCTAAGGCAGATAAATCACCCGAGAAACAGAACAGGTTTAATTTATGCATCTTATTTAGTAAAAAAAATGTGTGAATGAAGAATTAAATAATGAAATGCACCTGCCTTTGGATACCTTGAAATATGTAATGGTGTTTCCTTGAACTTTTTTTGTCCTTTTATTTTTTCCATAAA